AAAGTACTTCAGCAAAAAGCTGTACATGTACTTATTGCTGCTTATTGGCAGTATGAGTAGGTCAGGTACCAAAATATGTACAACTTCACAGGATTTAAAAGGAGCACTATTTCCCATTTAAGGCACCCACAAAAAAAAAGCCAGTAGAATTAAGTTGTTGCAAAAGATACCTTTGTTGAACAGGTCCCTACCATCCCATGCCACAGTCCAGCCTTTGCCAGCCTCCTTTCACAGGGAAGGAGCAGTTGGTCTGGCAAACAGACACTGTCCAGGGCTGGGATGCCTCTACCCTGGACACAAAAGTGCTCCTGATCTACCTAGAATCAGAAACACTAAAACTCAAAGCAGGGCAGTAATGTCTAGCCTCAGTTAGGAGAGAAGGATTGATCCCATCTGCAAAATATTTTAAGATCCACCATTTACTGGGATCACTGAATAACTGACCCTTGTGACCTGGGCAGTGCCAGCACAACTCACTTGTCAGCATCCCCAGTCCTTTAGTCAGCTTGCACCAGTGCCAGGGCACAAAAGATTGAGGCACGCTGTAAGTCAGTGAAGTCTCATGAATCTGTGTTCACTGTGGGACTGTGTAGAGAAGGAGCCCAGCCACCCCGTGCTGCAGCCCCTCCAGAATCCGATTCCCCTTCTGGGAGCTCTGTGCCACACTCATCACACATTGCCAATGCTGCCACCCAGCCCATGAGCAGGAAGCTCCTGCTCCTCTGAGGGAAGGTAGTAGGAGAGTTGGAGTTTCAAATAATTAAAAATGCACTTTTACACTACAGTCCCTTTCCAACCGTAATGACCTATGAAATGACACAGCAGGAAGTGCAGGCTTAAAAAGAGCTCCCTGCCAAAACCTGAGCAGGGAAGGGGAGAGCCTGCTGTGGGAATCCCAGCTGCTTGTTTTCTTCCTTTGCCTCCTACATGTTAAACGGATTTGCCACTTTAATATTCTCTTAGAGCAAGCCTCAGAAGCAGCTCATTTACAATGCATAGTGGCTAGTAGATGCATTTAAAGTCTCTTCATTACAGCACAGAGAGCACACCCCCCTTCACCTTGTTTTTGAGCAGAAGCTGCTATCCATAACCTACCAGGAATGCAAAAGGTGTTGTTTTCCCAGCAAACAGCCACCACCAAACACCCTTACCTTGAGTACTGAGTCTACAAATCAGGATGCAGAGTGGGAAAAGCAGTGTGCTGGTACCATTCTGCACATTCAGGTTGTATTAAAAGCTGACATAATTTGGCAGCTGTATTAAAGCAGATTCTCAATTATCCCCTATCCCCTACTGCTTTATCCTTCTTCAGGCTAAACAAACCCAGCTGGAATTTCTGGCATGTGGACTCTTCCAGCACATCAGTCTTCAACATGTCATGCAGGTGTTTCCAATAGGAGCAGCTGTGGCTGCATGTTAAAGAGTTTTGAACATCGAACCAGACCAAGGAGGGAAAAAGAGGAATGATGATATGGTTGTCAGGTAAAGCAAGGAGAAAGGCAACAGAGGCACTGGACAAATATTTTAGATACAGATGTGCTCCACCATGTTCCAGGAGAAAGCTTCTTAAGGGGCAGAAATTCTCCTTGAGAAGCAGTAGAATCCTGTGACAAGATTCAATATTGCCAAAGGCTAAGAGAGGGCTTTTAACTACCAATTAATATTTTCACTTCCATGTTTAATTACCCTCTACAGTTCAGAAGCCTCTCCCCATTTCTCCAGTCTGCAGCCTTCCTTCACAAAAGCCATGAAACAAACAGCAATTACCCATTTATCCCGACCTGACTGTAACCTGAATGAGCTCTGAGAGTGCTGCCCAGCAGCAAAACGTAAAGGACAGCCTGAATTGGGAACAGGCTGCTGCCTCTCTGCTGGCCTCCACATCATCACAGTTGATAAGAATGCAAGACAAAGCTATGCCTAATTAACATACATGAATTTTAACCAGGAATCCATTCCCATATATTAGAAAAAAAGCCCTGGACAGCTTCTGCCTCTCCCTGCCCCCAACTTAACAGTACCTGGTAAGGCAAGGCAGCCCCACAGCAAAACTTCAATTCATTTGTGCTGGTGAAAAGGCAGGAACATGGCCCCAAATACCTCTAAGGCTTTGGGCTGTGCCAGAGCTCTGATGCTATGACAGACAAGATCCAGGATGAGTATTTTTGATGAGCCTGCCTGGTGCTACAGCTATGAGTGTTACTCCACACACTGAAGGCTTGGTAAAGTAAAGAACAGAAACTGGGCAAAATGTACTACCCAGAATCAGGTGCTAAGGATCCTCACCAGCACCTTCTGGGGAAAGAGGGACTGGAC